AACAAAGCAGATGTAGAAAAGCAAAGGTGGTAGCTGCTGTAACCCCCTCTGGGGCTCACCCTTTGTTTGATTTCCTAAGTACAGCAATTAACCAAGTCAGTCTTCTATGATAAACTGTTTTGAAAGAAGCAAGAGTATTAAGTGATTTAAATTACCGACATGCTCACTGTAAGCTCTGCATCGTCCTAGCACGTTGAGAGATACAGGACAACAACGTCATCCAACAAACCCCTATTTACAGCCATAAAGCAGGGCAGAGGCCTAAACTTAGCACACATGGCAGGAGGCTTGACCTTGGAAGCACAGGAGCTTGAAAAGGGCTGTAACCCACCATCTCACCTCCCCCAGACATCAGGGCCCGCATTCACAAGCAGTGAGCTCACACCTCTCCCATCAGCCCCTGGTCCCCACCCTGTGAAACAGAGAAATTCAGCCTCTGTGTGTTTCCCTGAGACAAAGGGACATCTACTTCAGCAGGAAGCAAACTTTTTCCATAGAAATACAGCCCTGAATTTTAAAAAATCAAAGCCAATAAGAATAAAATATTTCTAATAATTTACAACTACTCTTTTAGGAATATGTCTTCTATAGATGCATATTCTTCATAAACACCATCTACTTCTAATGAACTGAGAAATCTCACAAAATTACCTTTAAACTGAGTTTCCAGATCTTTGACAAAAAGTATGCAGGCTAGCCTCTCAGAATCATAGATTCAAACGGAGTTTAGCAAAGAAAATCTCAGGACCCTGTGCTAACTACTGTAAGGTTACCACGTGGTGTAGAATTCTGTTAATTCTTAACTCACACTACCTCATTCAATCCTTGCAACAACCCTATGATGTAGTTATTATTATCCTCCCATTTTCTGGATGAGGAAGCTGCAGCACAGAGAGGTAGGTTAAGTCACTTGCCAACTGTCACATACAGAGCTAATAAGTGGTGGAGACGGGATCTGAATCCAGGCAGTCTGGCTCCAGTGTTCATGTCTTAACCGTTCTTCCCAGAATGTGAAGAGACTGGGAGTGGGTGATACTTCACTTTGTGGGCAACAAAAGTTTAAAGTTTAATCAGCTTACATTTAAAATCCATTAGTGTTTAATTCATGGGCACCGGGGTCCCAAATTCCCAACTACGGTAACTTGTCATCCCCTTCTTACCTCCCCACACATGAGACGTACGTAGCACCTCAGCCCTGCTCAAGATCACACAGCCCCACAATCACCATCACAGAAACCCTGCTGGAAAGAGCCAGACTCTTTCGCTACAAGAGGAGTTCGAGAACTGAGGTTACCCATCCCGGCCTAGTTCTTTCCCTCCCGCTGCTGACTGAAGGAACACCACCACACCAGGAAAAACAAGAAGGTGGTTAGCAGATACGCCAGAACAACAACTCTACTGTTCCCAGCAACTGGCGAGAAAAGCATGGCCGTGGGCAGTGTTGGGCGAGAGCTTCAGTGTGGTCCTCCTAACCTGCTCAGTTCTAGAGGGCAAGGGGTGGAAGGGGACCCATGTTTACTGGGCTCCCACTGTGCCAGTGTTTGTTCATGACCTTGGTCCACACCTGGAAAGTGGGCATGGTAATTTCCTGGCATAAATGAAGGCAGTGAGGCTCAGGGAGCCTGACTGGTTTGCTCAGCCAGGACATCACAGGCAGGGATTGGAACCTGGCTTTGTCTACCTTCCAAGGCCTCAACTGGATGCATTTTTTCATCCTGCCATGCTGTAAAAATTCTTCCTCAGTTTTAACCAACAGGGTATCCTGATTTTCATTTAGCCAACAAAATAAATAAAAACACCAGTGAATCAGTATCAGTTTCTTTAAAATTTTTTTTTCTATGTAAAACTTCAAACATTTTAAAGGGCAAACAAAACAGTTGCAAAATTGTGATAAAGATTAAATATTGGGTAAAGGCTACATACAAATTAAAAAGAACAGCCCAAGATCACCCCCAAACCACACACTACTATATATAAAATAATCAACAAGGACCTACTGTATAGCACAGGGAACTCTGTAATAACCTATATGGGTAAAGAATTCTGGGGCTTCCCTGGAGGCGCAGTGGTTGGGAGTCCGCCTGCCGATGCAGGGTACGTGGGTTCGTGCCCCGGGCCGGAAGGGTCCCACATGCCGCGGAGCGGCTTGGCCCGTGGGCCATGGCTGCTGAGCCTGCGTGTCCGGAGCCTGTGCGTCCGGAGCCTGTGCTCCGCAGCGGGAGAGGCCACGGCAGAGAGAGGCCCGTGTACCGCAAAAAAAAAAAAAAAAAAAAAGGAATTCTGTAATTTCCTATATGGGTAAAGAATATTCTGTAATAACTTATATGAGTAAAGAATCTGAAAAAGAATGAATACATGTATGTGTATAACTGAATCACTTTGCTGTACACCTGAAACTAACACAACATTGTAAAACAACTATACTCCAATAAAATTTTAAAAAACTAAAAAAAAAGATCACCCCCCCAATAGTAATATATAAACAGAAATACAAACTTGGAAAAATTTCAACCTCACAATCAAATAAAATGCAATCAGTGTATTTAAGCTATTAAATTGGCAATTAAGAACTTATAAAACATAATGCTGGTACAAGAACATGCTATTGGAAGTGTAAATTACTACTATCATTTTGGAAAGCAATTTAGTAATTTGTACCAAAAGTCATAGATGCTTTTGTTCACTCCTTCACCCAGTAATTCCATGTCCTGAGTCTATCCTAAGGGATTCATTTAAAATATGAAGAAGTTTTATGCAGCATGGATACCTTCTTTCTGCATTACTTACAAGTGGAGGATACGTGGAAAGCAGCTTAAATGTCATTCTGATAAGTGTTGTGATATTTAGTTAATAAAACATTACTCAGTCATTAAAAATGATGTAACAGAGTCTATGTAGCAAAATGGAAAAATACTATCAAACGTAATATTGAGGACAGAATAACTGGAATAAGGATGAAAAATAATGTAATTTATGTAACATGTGATTATGTAGACGCGTGATTATCACTTTGGCAAAAAACTTGCCCATGACATGACAAAAGGAAACATACCAAAAAGAGAAAAGTGGACATACAGCTCAAAATATTGTATTCAGTCTCTTCTGATAGGTTCACATGCATTTGCCCCATCGTCCACTTTCCATGCGGCACTTTTTAAACAAAAGAGAACCACAGGTAGGGTGGTACTCTTGTCTGCTGTGATAGACACTAGCCCGCTTGGCAGGCATTGCCAGGGGGTGAGTTTCCAGAAGGGAGGATGAAGGGTGGCTCACAGCATCCCTTCTTTCATGTGGTTTGTGGGCAGCGTCTGTGCTGTGTTTGCGTTCTGACCCTACAAAGGTTACTTCTGATCCAGTAACTAGTTGTGGTTTAGAGGCTACACTGAGGGCTACGGGGGAAGACCATGCAAACTGAACTGTAAAAGCTTTTTTTTTTGTTTTTGTTTTGTTTTTTTTGAGGTGTTTTTTTTCAGTATGCAGGCCTCTCACTGTTGTGGCCTCTCCCGTTGAGGAGCACAGGCTCCGGATGCGCAGGCTAAGTGACCATGGCTCACGGGCCCAGATGCTCCGTGGCATGTGGGATCTTCCCAGACCCGGGCACGAACCCGTGTCCCCTGCATCGGTAGGCAGACTCTCAACCACTGCGCCACCAGGGAAGCCCCTGTAAAAGTTTTTTAAAGTTTCTTTTAAAACTTAAAAGAACAGAAAAAACAACTGAGGACTGTCTGTGTTTTCGTCTGTCTTGCACCTCAGGAGCAGAGGGTTCCCTGCATCACATGCAGTAGTTCTGGGCACAAGATTAACGTGGTCCAGGTGAAAGCTCTGGATTTCTCTGTGTGTGTGCTTTTCTCCCTGTAGCCCGATTCCATCTCCCTCACCCCACAGGCAAACTGTTGAATGTGCTTGAGGTGCATCTTTATGTTTGCTCACAAGATGTGCTATGGGTTTTCCTGTGTGCCTATTTTTAACCTATGGAAATATTGGTTTGTGTATCTCATTTTAATTTTCCACTGAGCACTATGTTCTTAAGATCTCTCACATTGCCGTGTGCACAATTCCCAACTGCTGTGTAAGCAACACAGTGAGGTGTGTCTCCACCAGGGCATTTAGTGCTATGCCCTCTCCCGGCCCATCGCTCCTTCACCCCTTTTCTCCTTCCTCCGCTCCCCCACTGGTCTGCACATGGTATGGCACAATATTCACAGTGCCACGTGAGTAGGATGGAAGTTCTTTAAGTGCCTTTATTACTTTTCTTTTTTTAAAAATTTTTTGGCTGCACCTCATGGCATGCCAGATCTTCGCTCCCTGACCAGGCACCTGCACCCCCTACAGTGGAAGCGCTGAGTCTTAACCACTGGACTGCCAGGGAAGTCCTGCCTTTATTACTTTTTTAAAGAGAAAACTGCACTTGACATTTGTAGTTTTCAAGGGTGTATTTTTCTTGTATGTCAAGAACTCTCGGTGGTAACTTTAATCATTAAGAATAGATAAATAGGGCTTCCCTGGTGGCGCAGTGGTTGGGAGTCCGCCTGCCGATGCAGGGGACACGGGCTCAAGCCATGGTCTGAGAGGCTCCCGCATGCCGCGGAGCGGCTGGGCCCGTGAGCCATGGCCACTGGGCCTGCGCGTCCGGAGCCTGTGCTCCGCAACGGGAGAGGCCGCAGCAGTGAGAGGCCCGCGTACCGCAAGAAAAAGAAAAAAAAGAATAAATAAATAGGGGGCTTCCCTGGTAGCACAGTGGTTACGACTCCGCCTGCTGATGCAGGGGACACGGGTTCGAGCCCTGGTCCGGGAAGATCCCACATGCTGCGGAGCAACTAAGCCCATGCGCCAGAACTACTGAGCCTGTGCTCTTAAGAGCCCACGAGCCTCAGCTACTGAAGCCCGTGTGCCTATATATAGCCCATGCTCCACAACAAGAGAAGCCACAGCAATGAGAAGCCTGAGCACCGCAACAAAGAGTAGCCCCTGCTCACCGCAACTAGCGAAAGCCCGTGCACAGCAACAAAGACCCAATGCAGCCAAAAAAAAAAAAAAGAGAAAATAATAGATAAATTTAAAAAGTATACTCTTAATTCCTCTTATCCTCTCTTAGACCTAGTTTGAAGTGGCTTCTTTGAGAAGGGCTACAGGTGGCTGCCTAAGACCCTCGAGGTCTGGATCTGAATTCCAGAGATGGCCGGAGGCTGCCGCAGCGCTTTGATGGCATGATCCTGTAACCTGGTATCTCTGAGGTCAAGCTTTGATCCTGAAACTGACACTCTGGGAGCCACGTATGTCTCTATGAGTGCATACAGCAGGAAAGCATGAAAGGAAGCAGGTTTAGCTGGGACAGGAGCAGGGGGAATGTCCCCACGGAGCTCTGTGCCCTGCCTGTGACCCCATCACAATAAAAGCTGTTTCTGACGGCAACTCTCTTCAGCCTGCACAGACTCTGCACCTCGTAACATTCGTGTGTGGGCCAGGGATGGGGCAATCAGCTCTGGACTAGGAGGGAAGAAGTCAAGGCTCCGAGGGTGAGGTGACCTGCTCAAAGTCACAGGGCAGAGAGGGCTGGGAGTGACAGTCCAGCCTCCATTGGTGTGACCACCCCTTACCCTCGCCCCTCCACCACAGGGGGACAGCACACCTGCCCACTCTTTGGAAATCGGGGCTCTGACAGTCTGTGTCTGCCAAGGCCCTGGTGATCCTTGTCCTAGTGACTCTGTGCTCTGGGGATCACATTTCTACCAGTCCCTCCCTCCCATGATCCTGGTGAACCAGGCAGGGAGGCACCAATGAAAAACGGGAACCCCAAAGGGCCAGCTCCCCCTTGCTTGCAGGCATCTTTTTTCTGAGCTGGAAAAGATCTTAGGAACCATATCCGCCAGGGTTCTGGCAGGAAACAGATGGCACTCTCAAACTGGGTAATCTGAGGAGAGTTTAATAAAGGGACCATTTATAGAGGGGCGAGCAGGGGGTAGGGGAACCACAGCGCAGCGTTCTGGGACCAGTAACAGTGCCACATTTACACGCCAGGACCACAGGGGTGAGGGAGGAGAGGCTACTGGAACCTTAGATGAAGTGCCCTGTGGAGAGCACTGCCGACCAGGGGCCCAGACCTCGTGATGCCTCAGGGAGGAGCCAGGAGAATCAATACTTGGGCCTCGCACCGCCACCCCCCATTCCCAGCGCCCTCCACCCACCCCTCTCATCTCCTGTCGGTTCTCCCCACCGGGTAAAGAGCACAATAGGGGGCAGGAAGCCAGGAGCCCATTCACACAGTCCCTACGGTCAGCTTCCAGAGCTCAGGGCAGGGCACAGAAGGGTGAAGAGTGGATCTGAGGGGCAAACAGAAAACATCCACCCAGCCACCTAGCTTGAAAGGGATTGTGCCCCTGGGGGAAAGGCCTGGCCCAGAAAATCAAAGGATGAGTTGCAGGGCTGGGCGGGGCACTCGATCTTTCAGCACCATCGGTCCACATTCCTCAGCTCTCCATTTGACCTGAGGGTTCCTTTTGCTATTAGGAGGTGTTTGTTTCTCATGTATGGATGGTGTATTCCAAAGCTACCCCTACTCTGTATAGTCTACACTCCCCCAGAGCGACTCCTCAGACACCTACTAGGTTCATACCTACACCTCTGACCCAGAGTCAGGGCTCCCACAATTTAAAGGGACCAGCTCAGAATAAACACCTTGCAGCCGGTGCAGGCACGCAAACACAAAGGGGTGAGGAAAATGGGCCTGCGGTTCTGCAGTGAAGTCCAGCTGAGGCACAAGGAGAGAAGAGTAAAGTCCTGCATCCAACCCCCCATCCAGAGAGCCAGGACCTGCCCTCCGTGAACCGGCAGAGCACCTCCCACTCTACACACATACAGAAATAGCTGTGCATTGACCCGTGAGTCGCCCAGGCCTGGAAAAATCCTCCAGGATATTTTAAAAATCACATGTTCTTCCAAGCCTTTTTAAACTCGACTGAAGAACTGGCTGGCTAAAAAAAGAGCAAATTATTGAAATGCTTTTGGTAGGCATTATCTGAGCTACAAATTCAAAACAAAAGATCAAAATGTTATTTGACTCTCAGTTTCCTTATATATTCCATAAACCTTGCCCCCTTTATGAAATAAGACAGGCCTCTCAATTCTCTGGATAACAGACTTATCTCCAGAAAACCAGGAAAAGACTATCAATGATACTCTTAATATCTCATGAAGATATTAGCATGGCAGCTCTATAACTACGAAATTAAAAACACCAGAGGACCCTTGTTTGGCCTCCAAATTTTTATATTCATTCATTCCATCTCTAAATGTTTCTTGAGTCCCTAAGTTTGGAGCTGTGGGCAGAACAAAGTGTAACAAGACTCAGAGAGGCAGAGGGGGGCCAAATCACAAAGGAAGGTTCTCCCACCTTCTCCTTTTTCTTGTAGGCAGCGAGCAAGGAGCTGAAAACTTCCAGAGGCATGATTAGAGTGCATCGTGTTTTGGCAAGTTATGCCAGAAAGAGGTACAGGATGCTGTTGGTGAGCCCTAGAGGCAGGAGGCCTGCTTAGGAGGCTGCTGCAATACCGCAGGCAGGATGTGAGGATGGGCAGAAAACCGCTTTCCCAGACCAGAGACGTAGGGAAGGAAGGAGCAGAGATTGGAACCACGTCTGTGTGTTGCAGCAGGGAGGTTTGCCCTGGACATGTGGGATGGAAAGGGACTCATGGTCATGGACATGTTTTCTCCACGAGAAGGAGGCGGCGCAGAGAGCTGCAGGCTGAGCGCGCAGACGAGGGTGAGCTGGGTCATCCCCGGGGCCCAGTCTCGAGCCCACTGTGCACTGGGTGCTGACTCCTGGGAGCCTGGGGTGCAGGAGTGCTCTGGGCTGGGAGCTGGAAGGGCGCCTCCCACCCCTGATGGGCTCCCTGGCTTCCATCTCTATCCCCAGGGGTCACTGCTCCTGAGAGCCGGTTCTCCCTCTGCACAGCGTGTCATGCTGTGAGGTACTCTCAGCTCGCGTCAGTTTAGGACCTGGGGTCCTCCACTCACTGGTGCGGGTCCTTTCCTCTGAAGCCTGATAGAGGGTCCCACCCCTTCTTCTCCTGGTGTCTGAAAGGGACCAAGTGAGAAGCCTCCCTCAAAGGGAATTAGTACTCATCAGCCAAAAAAAGAACCATAACTAGCTTGGCTCTGCTCAGCAATCTGCCTTTCTTCTCTGCTTGAAAAGCAAATGTCACATAACCAAGTTCAAAGTTTCAGTGAAGGGCTGGTCTGCTGGCAGGTCCAACAGGCAGCCAGCCCACGAAGCCAACTCCATTCTGTAGAATTCTTCAGGTTGAGGAGATTGACTACACGGCCCTCCAGCCCTGGGCAGGCTGAAGGAGAGCTCCTGAGGCCACGAGAGCATGTGGTGGGGACCTGGGGAGGAAGGCAGTGCCATTCAGTGACTTTCTGTTTCAACCGCTAGAGCCCCGGTATAAGCTGCTTGAATAAACCAGTTACCTAGTGGCAGCGGCAGTGGCAGGCCGGCTTGGGGACCGGCCAGAAGCAACTGCACGTGGACTGGGCAGGGGCTGGCCCCTCAGTGCAGCACTGTGGCCCACTGGAGCTTCTCTGGGCCAGAGCACGAACGCAGGGTGGAGGAGAGAAGGGGGACTCCTGGGCTTCTGTCCAAGAGGCCGCGAGCCGGTGCCACGAGGCCGGAGCAGGGCCCCAGTTGAGAGCTGTCTGGTGGGAGTGTGACATACCTTTGCCTTCTGTTCACCTGGACAGCCTTGTGATAACTCTTGTGATAACAGGGCCTCCTGGCCTGATTCTTGCCTTTGACCCTCGGGGCCCAGGTGTGCGAGCTCTCCCTGCATCCAGAATCACACAGACAACCTAAAAGCGCTACTGAGGAGACAGAGGAGGCTTATTCATCCCCCCTCCCCCTGGCCCCTTCCCAGATCCCTGAACTCGGTGCTCCTGTCCTGTGTTGCCAAACAACTCTGCCCCCTCCGTGCCCCCACCTCCAAAGGCGGTCTCACACCTCAGGGTTCAAAGCTGTTTTGCAGCAGCGGCAGCTGTAATAACAGCCACAAGCAGGCCTCTGGAGTGAGTCATGGCTTCAAAGAATGTGCCTACACATTCCCTCATTCGTCCTGACAACTGGCCCTCACCTCTCAGCAGCCTGGGACGTGGCTAAAGGCGTCTTCCTCACAGAACACAAGGGTCTCCCCAGGGATGCCGGCAATGAGACCAGCCACCTTTCCCTGGGCTCTCTCCTCTGCCCTGAAGTCAGTATGCAGGGGCCCTGGCTGTCTCTCCAAGAGCCAGATGACAGGAAGCTCACCCCCATCTCAAACAGTCTCCAACAAAAACTGAGGCCCACCCGGGGGATGGTGTTTTCTGGAGCACAACTCACATGGACTCAACGTGCATGACGCCCCGAGAGCTGTGCAGTCCTGTGCCCTGAGACTCCCCGAGGCAACGGGTCGCAGAGGACGTGGGCTCCACCAGCACCTGCCCCAGCCACAGGGCTCTCTCTGTTGAGGAAAGAAGCCACAATGTGTCCTGTGGCTAAAGGGTGACGAGTGACCACTGGGACAGGAAGCCTCTGCCTGACCACAATGCTCCTCACCGAGGGGTTACTCACTCACCCCGGACACTGTCTCTTTTGGGGGGTCTGAATGTGAGATGCAGCCATGGCAGCAGAGGTGACAGTCGGCTTGAGTCAGTAGAGTGAGGAGTAGAAGGAAGAGAAAGAGGGCAAAGAGGCCAGCTTTCCAAGCCAGGAAGAATCGCGGGGTGTGGCAGGGAGCCATGGATGCCCGATTCAAAGTGATGGCAGGACAGCTCGTGCCCAGAGCTCCTGGTACCTCCCGGACAGCAAGGTGCCAGAGGGCCTGCTGGGAAGCACAGAGACCCACGGGGAATGGACTGTGTGTTGCTGGGACCCACGTCTGGGTCTCCCCACCCCTGGGGATCTCCCAAGCCCTAAGGCAAACCGGGGATACCTCTAGTGAGTTGAAAGAGCCTGACTAGACTAGGGAGGTGGAACCACTGAGCCTCAGAGAGATGAAGTGACTTGCTGACACGGATGCTGATGGCTGCTGACCCATCAAACATTCCTTGTCTCCCTTGCTAACCGAACCCTGATTTCTGTAGGGAGGGCAATGTGTCCAGCTAAACCTTCTCCCACAGAGTCCCGTACAGCCAGGTGGCCATGTTCTGGCCAATGAGACATAAGCTGAGCGTTTCAAAAAAAGCTTTTGCTTTCCTGATCCAGGGGCTGCCCCACTTTCTCCCTTTCTGCTTCTTCCTGCCTCAGATGCAGCCATCTCACAACCATGAGGACAAAAGCCACAAGGCGGGGATAGTGCAGGTGGGAAGATAAGAGAGTGGGTCCCTGAAGACACCACATGAGCCCGGGGTTGGCTCCCTCCAGAATTCTCATAATGTCGGAAAAATAACTACCTACTTGTCTAAGGCACTCTCGGTTGGGTTTTCTGATCTTTGCAGCTGAATGCATTCCTAAGAGCTGCACCTGCCTGAGTCACAGAGCTGCTGGTCAGTGGGGCAGCCGGGACCCTAACCAGGTCTGTGAGACCCTGAGCCCGCCTTGCTTATTTTCACTAGGAGACACTACCGCCTGCTCTCAGAACAGGAGGTCTGCAAATTAACAAGTTGCTGTATGTAGAGCACCTGAAGCATCATAGCAAATGCCCAATAAATATTAGCCACTGTTAGAACCATTATTATTAGGTCCAGTAGGCTCCAAGCCACTTAAAGCTCCTCTGTTTCAGACCTAAGACCACAGCCTCATGGGACCAAGAAAGCGGTGTCTCTCTTTCTGAGGAAAAGAGAGTGAGGAAGGGCTAGGTCCTTTGGCCTAGCTCCCAGGGCTACTGGGAGCAGAGGGGTTGTCCACTGGGATGGACTCCCATCCCCAGAGCCTGCCTGTCCCCAGGAAGAGCAGCACAAACACATAGTGACCCCTGCCATGATCAGCGGATCTGAGGACTCCCTCTCTGGTCCTTCAATCTGGATGCACAGAAAGCCAGACAGAGGCCCTGCGGAGGGGTCTGAACAGGTTTAGTTTGGGCCACCAGGCACCCTTGCAAACTCACATATTTCTCCACCTTCCCCAGACATAGGAGTGTGTCTCCTGAAACCTGGATATTCCCACTTTTACAAAAGAACATTGGAAACAATCTAAATGTCTAATAGTGAGGTACTATTAAAATGATGCTGTGTGGGCTTCCCTGGTGGCACAGTGGTTGAGAGTCCGCCTGCCGATGCAGGGGGCGCGGGTTCGTGCCCTGGTCCGGGAGGATCCCACGTGCTGCGGAGAGGCTGGGCCCGTGAACCATGGCCACTGAGCCTGCGTGTCCGGAGCCTGTGCTCTGCAATGGGAGAGGCCACAACAGTGAGAGGCCCGCGTACCGCAACAGAAAAAAAAGAAAAATAAAAAAAAAAAGCGATGCTGTGCTCACAAAATGGAATATTTTGTAGTCATTAACTATATTCTCTAAGGGTTTCTTATAACACGAGAAAAATTCTCACGTTATGTGAAAAATAGCTGGCATGTTTCCGATGATGCCCTTATGACATTTATGCATATACATATGTAAGAGCAATTTAAAAGGAAGAAGAAAAATCTTAAAATGCTAACAATGGTTAACACCTTTAAGTTGTGGTATTATGGATGACTTTTGTGGCTCTACACCTTTCTATATTTTCTAAGATTTTAATAGTTCCTTTTATAATCATATGAAAAATCCTTATAAGTTGAAGAAAGGGGAAACTATGCTCATGACAGAACTTGTGACATTATTATTATTTGGACAGGATATCTGGCTTCAAAATGTGCTGTTTGCTGACAAACAGCGCACATTTCAGGGAAATGTTTAAAAATGGAAGGGTCCCGATGTGGCAGTCTTTAGCTCCCAGCAGAGGAAAAGCAGCTTCCTCTCTTTACTGGGGCCTGGTCTGGAGGCACGTCCCTTACCTCTTTGAAGCAGCTCTGATCTGAGACCCCGCTTACTGGGTTCCTTGAGAGAACATCCTCTTTGTAAAAGACCCTGGGGGTTCTGAGATTACTCTGGACTGATTCCATCAATAAATATGAATACTGACCACCTCTGCCCCATTCACAAACCACAAATCTATGAGACCCTTGGAGAGCTGTGGCTTGGTGTTTAAATGGTTTTGATGAGGTCAGGACATGGCTTCTTTCCCTAATAAGATGAAAAGTGAATGAACGCTAAGAAACATGTTTTCTCTGCAATAGAGATCTCTGTGTAACCAGCACTCCATCAAAGATCAAACTTGTGTCTTTGGAACCAGGTCTAAGCCAGTCATCAAACCACCACAGCAACGGCAAACATACCATTGAGAGTGCTCTGAGCTACCTTTCTTTCTGTTTTTCCTCCCAAAGATTCTGTGTTCCCACCTCACACAACTTTTTCAACATATCACTTCTTTCCTCACATCAAATGCCTGAACCCAGTGGTCTGAAAATAACAGTATTTCCAGCATCTTTCCTTCACTCTCGACACAAGCAGATGTCCACCTAGACCTGGATGATTAGAGCTGAAAGTTAGTTTTTCACCACCTACCCAATGGTTCAATATATTGGGACATTTTTTTCTGGGCCAAAGATCAAAACACACCAGAGATTACAATAAAACCATTATTAAAAACTCATGCAGTAATAGATTTTCTTTCAACACAAGAAATTGTGTTGTCTCTGTTTCCTTGCATTCGGGAATTACCAGAATGATACAAGCAAGTTTGTGTTGCTCAGACCCATCTGTGACATATGCAGAAGCATTGGAAGGTTTCCCCTGTAACCCCCACCCAGTTTAAGGACACAATCAGTCTTTTTTTTTTTCCGCAATGTTAAAGTTCAATAGCTTGAAATGTTACCGGTCTGTGAAAAGCAACATTACCACACAGCAACAGCTCACAGCTCTGATACCCAGAATATGGAATCTGTAATATATCTAACAGTACAATCCAGACTTTATGAAGTAAGAGTTGGCTAACGGAGCAACATAACATTGCAAGAGGAAATATTTAATCTGTTTGAGCAACAACTTTTTCCAGCCAACAGATCACAGAATGCTGGAACTGGATGGACCTTGGAGACCCTCTAAGCTACTTTCTTCAACTTAAAACCGGGTCCCGGGCACCCCTCCAAGGGCGTGTGATTGGAATAAAGCCTTACAGTGGGAGGCGGGGAGGCGGGGCGGCTCTCATCTGGACTTCCTGCATTTCTGGGTACTAGTACATAACATTTATGTTAAAGCATGCATCTCCCTCCCTTGTCCAAACACACAATGTATGTCTCCTCCCTAGCTACGGAATAAAACCCAAACCTGGTTTTCAAGGCCTTGGTCCCACCTTTCCAGGTTTATTTCACACCCCTCCAAACATCTGCACAGGCTCCCTTCTGCACCAGATACCGTCTTCTGTGCTGAAGGCCCCTGTCCTCTTAGAATCTAAAATAGCCCCTCCTCCAGGCAGCCTCCAGGGTTCCTCCAACCTAAAATGCTCTCACTCTGCTGAACAACATGCCAGCTTGTCCTTACCTACTTTAGAGAACGTATGGCATTCTGTGCTCTATTATTTGTATGTTTGTTTTATATGCTTCATTAGATTGCAAGTTTCCAGAGGACAGGAAAAAACCTTGATACATATTAATTAATTATTCCATGATCCTTTGCTTATAGTAGCTCTCAAGAAACTCAGAACAAATGTATGCATAACACATTTTTCTTGTCTATAAAGGCAGATCCCAGTGAGGCTCAGCTCAACTGCATTTCCGTAATTCTGTGTGCATGGAATTAAAAGCACGCTTTTCCTTCACCTTTTCTCCCCAACATTTTATTATGAAAAATTTCATATAGACAACAGAGTATGTTTAAGGCCACCTAGATTCTACCACTAACATTTTACTATACTTGCTTTATCACATATCTATATACATATCCATTTTCCTGTCCATCCATCAATCCATCTAGTCTTTTTGATGTATTTCAAAGTAAACTACAGATGTCAGACTTTCCCTAAATAATTCAGTATGCCTATCGTTAACTGAAGTTCAATACTAATATTTTCTTTTGAAGTAAAATTCATACTCAGTGAAGTGTCCAAGTCTGAAGTGTACGTTCACTGAGTTTAGACAAATATATACACCTGACTAAAAAACCCCTTACTCCCCCATAAAGAACCACTGTTTTGATTTTTTTTCCCCACCATAGACTAGTTTTGCCTGTTCTAGAATTTCTTATAAATGAAATCGTATAGTATATACTCTTTTTGTGGAAGGTTTCTTTCACTCAGCATGTTTTTTAGTTTCATAAGTGCTGTTGCACTTATGTAATTTTCTCCTAATGTAATTTTCTCCTCAGTATTGCTGAACAGTATTCCATTGTATAAATATCCTATTGTTTGTTTATCCATTTTCCTACTGACGCCTAGGCTTTGTGTTTATTTGTCAACATATATTTCAATTTCCCTTGCATACATAACTATAAGTAGAGCTGAGGCAAAGAGAAGGTGTATATTTAGTTTTATAAGAAATGCCAGGGGCTTCCTTGGTGGCGCCGTAGTTGGGAGTCCACCTGCCGATGCAGGGGACACGGGTTTGTTTTGTGCCCCAGTCCGGGAAGATCCCACATGCCGCAGAGCGGCTGGGCCCATGCGCCATGGCTGCTGAGCCTGCGCGTCCGGAGCCTGTGCTCCGCAACGGGAGAGGCCACAACAGTGAGAGGCCCGTGTACCGCAAAATAAAAAAAATTTAAAAAAAAAGAAATGCCAGACTTTTTCCAAACTAATTATACCATTTTATATTTCTACCAACATTGTCTGAGGTTCAAAATCGTTGTGAGAAGGCGCCTGATGTTGAATTAGACTTTGTTTTTAAAAATAGACATAGTGCTATTCAGATTTTGTTTCATCTTGTGTCAGTTTTGATGAGTTGTATTTTTCAAAGAATTTGTACAGTTCATCTAAATTGTTTAATTTTTTGGCATAAAATTGCTCATAACATTCCATTATTTTCCCAATGTTTGTAGTCCCTCTCTTACTCTGGATATTGGTAATCTTTGCTCTCTATATACTTAATAAATTTTATTGATCTTTTAAAAGAACAAGCATTTGGGGCTTCCCTGCTGGCGCAGTGGTTGAGAGTCCGCCTGCCGATGCAGGGGACACAGGTTCGTGCCCCGGTCTGGGAAGATCCCACATGCAGCGGAGCGGCTGGGCCCGTGAGCCATGGCCGCTGAGCCTGCGCGTCCAGAGCCTGTGCTCTGCAACGGGAGAGGCCACAACAGTGAGAGGCCCGCGTACCGCAAAAAAAAAAATAATAAATAAATAAATAAATAAAAGAACAAGCATTTGGATTTATGGATTTTCTCTATTTTTTGGTCTACTTTCCAGTTCACTGATTTATGCTCTTATCTTTACTATATCCTTATTACTTATATTGTGTACTTTTCTTTAGTCACTGATTTTTAGATCCATATTGTCCAATATGGTAGCCAATAACCACATGTGGGTATCAATTTAAATTAAATAAATATAAAATTCAATTCCCTAGTTACACTAGCCACATTTCAAGTACTTAATAGCCACACATGGCTAGTGGCTACTGGACTGGACAATACACATAGAGGACATTGCCATTATCACAGGAAGTTCTATTGGACAGCATATTTAAGACCTTTCTTTTTTCTAATACAAATATTTAAAGCTATAAAATTTCCTCTATATACTATTTTAGCTGCATCCTACAAATTTTGATATGCTGTATTTTCATTATCATTTAGTTAAAAATATTTTCTAATACCTTGTGATTTCTTCTTTGAACCATGAATTGTATACAGTGTGTTGTTGCATTTCCAAACATTTGGGGTTTCCCTAGATATATTTCTGTTATAGATTTCTAATTTTATTCCATTGTGGTCAGAGGATATCCTATATTCTCTATATATTTCAAACTTTTAAATTTTATTGAGACTTGTTTTATGGTCCAGCATTTTGACCAACTTGGTAAACATACCATGTGCATTTTAAAAGAATGTGTATTCTGCTGTTGTTGAATGTAGTATTCTATATCAATGTGCTTTAGGCATTCATCTATGCCTTTACTGATATATATATATACATATTTTTTTTTTTTGTATAATTATTCTATCAATTGCTGACAGTGGAAAATCTCCAACTCTGGTTGAGAAATTTTTTTGTTTCTCCCTTTAATTCTGTGAATTGGTATGTAATTTGCTGCATGGCAACTTTTACTTCACTACAATGAAATTAA